TGACACTTCCAGAATGAAGGCAGACAGCAACAATAACAACACCCATGTTGATTAAGACTCCCTAGTTTTACAGGTCAGGAAACTGAGGCCTGAGAAGGAAAATGACTTGGCCAGGGTCCCCTTGGCAGTGACAGTCGGGATTTGGGTCTGTCTCCGGGTTCCTGGTCAGTGGCCAGTTTCTTTTCTACTCCAGGGGACACTGAGGGGGAATCTTGCTCTTTCCTCTGCTCTCGGCTCAGTTGATTAATAAAAAGAAATATTTGCGAGGCGCTGTTGTTATCAGAGAAGCCGAGAGAAGTAATTAAGTGAACAATTGTGTCCCGGCTCCTAGGGGCCAGAAGCTCCAGGGGATTCTAATCTCATCTGGAGGAGCTATTAATTAGGAGCCCAGAACTCTGTCAGTCCGCCTTTTGTTTGCAGATTGGAGAGAAGCCGGCTCCGGTTTAGTTTATTGGAAAGAATTTGGGGGCAGGGGAGTCAGGAGATCGGGGTCCAGCCCTGCCTCTGCCGTTAGCTGACTGGCCAGTCGTGGCCCTTCTCTGGCCTTCCTTTACTTTCTTGCAATAAATGAGGGCTTGCATTTTAGAATGGTCCATGAGGTCTCTGCAGGCCCAGGTTAGTGGCTGTGGGTAGTTGTTCATCGTCTTCCCTCCTAGTCAGCTGGGACAGGTGCTAGGGACCCCCAGGAGAGGCTGGAGGAAAAAGGGGGTGCAGTTAATGGCCCCTGGAACTCAAGGGGCCTTTTTGGAAGGGAAGTGGGAAGCAGATTTGTTCATTGGAGGCTGGGGAGGAATCTGGGTTTTTTTCCTTGTTCTCTGAATTTTCTTAGGGATTTCTCTAAGGATAGTCAGTCTCTGGAAGGAAGGAAAAGGCTTATGGGCTGTGAGAGGAGTGTCATTAAACACTCTCTCTTTCTCTTTTTCTCTTTATCTATCTCCTTCCTTCACTCTTCTTCCTCCCTTCTGCTCTTTCCTATCTGCTCTCTCTCCTCCTCCCTCTCCCTTCCCCTCTCTCCCCACTCTCATTCCCGCTTTCCCTCCCTCTTCCCCCCCATCACTAATGTGTGAATATTGAACATTTACAGGGATTTGTCGAAGTTGGGGGGGCCGGTGCTGGGTATAGGCAAAATGGAGAAAAGTAAGTTATATTAGCATAGCATTTATCCCTCAATAACCCCCCCCCCAATAGAAAGAACAAATCCTAGAATGTTCAGGACTGAGAGGAACCTTAGAGCGCAGAATATTGGAACGATGAAGCTCAAGTGGCCCGAGAACATTGGATGTCAGAAGGCTGGACCAGACGTTAAAACACAGACTATGAATAGTGTGGAAGGACCTTAGAATATTAAAGCTTGTAGGAAGCTTAAGACATAGACTGTGAGAACTAGTCATCTGCTCTAATCAGTTCATTTTGTTGTTTTCGGCCGTTTCAGTCGTATCTGACTCTTTGTGACCCCGTTTGGGGTTTTCTTGGCAAAGATACTGGCGTGGTTTGCCATTTCCTTTTCCAGCTCATTTTATGGGAGAGGAAACTGAGGCAAACAGGGTTAAGTGGCTTGCCCAGGGTCATACAGCTAGTAAGTGTCTGAGGCAGGATTTGAACTCAGGTCTTCCTTGCTCCAGGCCCAATGCTCTATCCACTGTGCTGCCCAGCTGTCCCTAACTCATTTTACAGGGGAAGAAACTGAGACCTAGAGGAAAGGATCTGACTCAAGGTTATACATAAAGTTGGCCTCAAACCCAGGAACAGAACCTAGTTGTTCTGATTCACAGCACCATTGGCTGTCCCAGTGTGAGTAGCCTACAAAGGTTACACCGACTCAGTTTTACCTCTCCGTGTTTGTATCTTGTCTTATTTCATAACAACCCTCTGAGTTGAGTAGGATGGGTATTATTGTGCCCATTCTACAGATTGAGGGACTGAGACTTAAGTTATGTGACTGGTGACAGGCAGTCACCTTGTCAGTTAGAGGACCCATAATCTCAGGCAGCATCCTCCCTTCTCTTATCCCTGACCCAAGTACCTGGGTTCAGTCTGGTCACGACTTCTCTTGGGTTTTTTAACAGAACCCAAAGCAGTTTGGAGTGTGTGGGAGAGGGGGGTGGCAGGGATGGCAGAAGAGGAGGCCAGTGGCTGTGGGTGGGGAGAGCTCCGGGCTTGTAACCAGCATGTTTTCTCAATTTGACCTCTCACAAGTTAATTTTCTCTATTTCACTTCCCAGATGTTCTAATTCTTTATGTAAATGGTTATTTGAGATTTCTCAGAGCCTCTGTCCTGCATTTAAATTAGCAACAGATTCAATTCTTTTGCCACTGGTAGGGAAGATGTATAAACTGCAGTTTCTGGGTAAAGAATCCCCGCCCCCCCTCTTCCCCTTCCCCTCCTCCCTTCCCGAGGTCCAGGGGTGTGACATGTGACCATCTATTTATCTAGAGCAAGGGATGCGCTCTGTAACAGATCATTTCAGCTGTTAGAACTTAGGTTTTGTCCAGAGGTCCACACAGCTGAAGTCCGTGTGTGTGTGTGTGTGTGTGTGTGTGTGTGTGTGTGTGTGTGTGTGTGTGTGTGTGTGTGTGTGTTAAGTAACTTGTGTTGTAAGTTCCTTGAGGTCAGGAACTGCCTTTTGCCTCTTTTTATATCCCCAGTGTTTAGCCTAGTGCCCGGCACTTAGTAGGCACTTAATAAATGCTTATTGATTGATTGACTCACTCTCTTGTCCCTGTTCTTGACTCCTTTTGACTGTGCCTAGAAGTGACTTTGACTAAATGACCAGGTATCCGTTGTCCAGCCACAGGGTAGGTCTGTCCAGTGAGATAATTCTTTGAGTTGGGGGAGCATGACTGCCGGTGATGGAGGTCATGGGATATTAGGCCTGTAAGGAACTTTAGAACTGGGAATGTTGGAGCTGGGAGGGCCCAGAAGGTCACCTTGGAACATTGAGCTTGGAGACTTATAGCACGTTTCACATATGTTTTCTTATTTGAGTCGCACAACCCTGTGAGAAAGGTACTCCTGGTGTATTTTACCTCTGTTCTACAGAGGGGGAAACTGAGGTTCTGTGACATTGAATCCCCAGCTCCTGGTCACACTGTCAAGTTGGAGAAAGGATTTGGACCCAGGGCTTTCTAGCTCCCAAGACCTGCACTCATTCCACTACATCAGGGGTGTCAGATCCAGGCCAGCACAAAAGGATGGGACAGAGATAATGTTAACATGTGGTTTTCTAAGCCATTATGCCCTCGAGGGGAGAGGATGGCTTAATGGCCCCCTTTTCTGTTAGTTTGACATCCCCTATATACTGCATCCCCTTCTCAGGGGAAGGGATCTTAAGACAGTGTGGAAGGAAGGCCTGGGAAGCCAGAGCAGGAAGGAACCTATTTCATCTCCCTCATTTTATTAGTGGGGAAATTGAGGCCCAGAAAGCTCAATGCTTTTTTCAGTCTGACAAACTGTCCCTGGCAAAGTCGGGGCTTGAATCTAGGTCCCCTCAATCAAGTGTTCAAGGCATGACCTCAAATTCCCCTTCTAGGCCTATCTCCCTACTGATGTTCTCCTAACCCCAAACTTCAACCCCATTCAGCTGATTTTTTCTTCTCCAGCCTGCCCTCCTTCACACCTTCATTCATTCATTAAATGTCTGTTGTATTCTGTGCACTTTGCCACACATTGTGAGAGAGGGATCAGACATGGGTCCCTGACAGTCCTTACAAGTCTGGTAGGAGTCATGGTATGCGCCCAGAGAAATAGAATCTGGATTGAGATGTAAGAATACAGAGTGCTCTGAGTGCTACAAAATCTGATGAGAGAGAGTATCACTCCCTAGCTTGTGTATGTATTTGTGTATGTGTATGTGTATAGACACATATCTATCTATTTATCTCTATCCATCTATCTATCCATCCATCTATCTATCTGTCTGTCTGTCTGTCTAGCTATTAAGAGAAAGGCTTTCTTGGGAAGTTGGGACTTCAACATGTAATGATGGTGGCTGGGGAGGGACATTTGTGGGGCTGAGAACAATGTTCCGAGGTGGGAGATCCTGGTAGATGTTTGGGGATGGTAAATAGAATGTGAAACTCATAAAGCCTAGTGAATGTGAGTTTAAGGCAGGAAATCTAGGTTGCATCCAGATTGTAAAAGGCTTTGGATGTCATGTTTCCCCCATTAGAATTCGAGCTAGTGGGGTTGGGGGCTGTGTTTTTGCTTTTCTCTGTATTTTCAGCCCTAGAATGATGCCTAGCATGTAGCAGGCACTTAATAAATGCCTATGGACTGAGTAGGGAGCGATGGCATGTTCTTGAGTTGGATAGCAACTTGCTAAGCCATGCCTGGAAGGGCTTTCAGAATGCAGAAGGATGCCAGAGGTCATCTAAACCAGCGGTATCAAACTCTTAAAACATACATAAAAATCCCAGTGGGCTGCATATTGACTTAGTTTTAAAATGTAATAGCATGTGTGTTTTATTGTATTTTTATTTATTTGGTTAACTATTTCCCAGTTACATTTTGCTGCCCTCTGGTCTGCAGGCTATGTCTAGTCTATTCTGCCCCTGAAGGGGAAGGCCCTCTTCCACACCCCCAACAAATGGTCCTGGAGTTAGCGCTGAGAGGACCCTTAGAGGCCATCAGATCCAGCCCCCTCATTTTACAGATACAGAAAGTGAGGCCTAGTGAGAGGTGGGGTGACTGGCCCAAGGTCACACACCTAGTATGTTTCTTGATACAGGATTAGAACTCAGGTCTTTGTAACTCCAAGCCAAACACTTTGCTCTATTGTCCTAGGGACATCTTTAGTGATGGGGAAATCCCTCCTTCCCTTCTCTGAATCTAGGATCCTGTGACTTCTCAGGCAGCCCATTCTCCTCTTGAAGAACTTGATTGATAGGAGGGTTTTCCTTACGTGGAGTGGAAATGGGCTCAGCCCTGGGCCTGGCAGTGCTCCGTCTTCCCTCCCCTTCCTCAGAGCCTCTGCAACGTGCCTCTTGTCTTTTCCTTGCAGGTGACTCGGGTTCCGGTAGAGAGCTGTGAGCAGTATGCCACGTGTGAGCTGTGCCTGGGCTCCCGGGATCCCCACTGTGGATGGTGTGTCCTTCATAACATGTGAGTCTCTGTTTAAGTATGGACATGGCCGTTGAGTTGGGGTGGGAAGGGGACCGGTCTAGTGACGATGTCATTGAATTCTTGGTTCTCATCCCAGGACTTCTGATGGCTCTCTCTCTTACCTGGGGTAAGTCCCAACCCCTTGTTCTGAGCCTTGGTGTTCTTTGGGGAGAATGTTAGTTCAGGAATTTTTAAAAGGCCCCGAGTAAGAAAAGGGATGGCTGACCCCCAAATGAGGAATATTGGGGTGCCAAAATGAGCTGTGGATGTGGGAGTCAAGAGACATAAACCTAGTCCACCATTAACCCTCTGTATGACCTTGGACGAGTGACTTATTTTCCCCATTTGTAAACTCTAAGGGTTAGGCTCTTTGATTAGTAAGGTCCCCTTGCGCTTCTAATGTTCTGTCAGTCAAGGATTCTAAAACTGCAGTGAAACGTGTATTATCCCAGCTTGGGCCTGGGGAGTGTTTAATTAACTTGGACTCACTCTTAGCTCTCCCACGGTTAGGCCAGGGCAGCCACTGGGGGGACGGGGCCTGTCGGCCAGAGAGCGGGTCGCTGGCCTCCAGGATGAAGACTGCTGATGATTGCCAGGGCCCCAGGAAGCTACAGGATTTGTTTGTTGTTGTTATATATACATATATTTTTGGCTTCTTTACAGAGCTTAATTAAAGTACCCTCTGTTAATGAAAGTAATATCAGAAACAAAATGGAGGGAAGGGGCCCGTTGTTTGCCTGAGGGCTGGAAGAATGATTGTGCTTCTCTTCTCCTCTTCCTCCTCCCTTAGGAGGACTTGCCTAGGGTAGAAGGCCCTCAACCTCAAAGCCTTGGCCCCTGGGTCTCTTGTGGACTCTGAAATGTCACCAGTAGGTACTCAGTCTTGTGCCCAGAGTTCCCTGCTCAAATTCCAGATAACAATGAAACAGGAGACCGCAAACTGTTATCAGCTACCATGTTAGTACTGATTGAAATCCTAAAGTGTTAGATAGAACCGGATAGGAGCAGAGGCCCATTTGGTCGTCAGAAGGGACCGCCGAGGCCAGCTAGCTTTATCTCCTCATCTTATGGTTGATGAAAAGCTACTTTGAAAGTGCTGCCATTTTCTTACCCATAGGATCTTGAGCAGATCACTTCCTTCTCTGGACCTCAATATTTTCTTCTACTAAATGGGGACAGGCCGGGACTGGATTGGATAAATCAATCAATAGATCTTCAAGTCTAACCCTCTCACTTTACTAATAAGGAACCCGAAGGCCAAAGAGGGGCAGTGACTTCCCCACTGTCACTTAGCTTGTTCGTGGCCCTGCCTGGACTAGAATCTAGTCCAGTATTCCTTCTTCAACATCATTTTCCTCCTGTTTGAGGCAAAGCAGCTGAGCCCCTGAATTGGGACCATTGTCCCCTTTCTTGTTTTCTGGGGCCTAGAGCAAGTCATCAGGAGGTGAGAACGTGTTTGCTAGATGAATATCAACATGACGCTGAGGTCTGGACGGTGATAGTTTATTCAGCCACCCTAGCATTGTGTCTTCCTGATACGGCAATCTAAGTCCCTTAGTGAACGTTTCATGAGGCAGTGGTATTGGTGATCTTGGGCTTTGAACGAGGGGACGCAGTAGACTGTAAGCTTCTTGAGGAAAGGGACTGATTTTCATTTTTGTCATTGTAGCCCAGAGGTATAGCATGGTGCCCAGAATGTGTCCGTCACTTAATAAGCAGCTGTTGGATTGGATTGGGAGGCGGAGAGGGCCTCTAGGGCCCATCCAGGGGCACTGAGTTGTGTTGGAGTTCCAGTTGGAAGGGAGGCCTTCTGACTAAAAGGTAATCTCCTTGAGGGCAGGGACTGTTTCTGTCTTTGCATCGAAGGCCCTAGCACATAACAGATACTTACTGAATGAATGATTGAATAAGGCTGGAAAGTCAGGATGGTACCAGAATGTAGAAGGTCTTGGGTGCTTTGGAAAAGGAGGAAAACATTCCTAAAGGGGTCAGCATCCCAATGATGGTGTCTTGGTCTTCTTCCTTCCGCCATGCCAGTTGTTCTCGGAAGGATCGCTGTGAGCGGGCTGACGAGCCCCAGCGTTTTGCATCTGACCTGCTCCAGTGCGTCCAGCTCACCGTTCGGCCCAAGAACATCTCGGTCACCATGTCTGAAGTCCTGGTACGCCTGTCCCCTCCTAAACCTTTCTACAGTTTGGGGTGGGAGAGTTTCCTCACCACTCTGGGCTCTGGCAGCTTGTCCCACACCCTGGTCCAAATGCCCACTCATCCCCCCTCTTCCTTCTTCCCTCTCTCATCTCTGGCCGTGTAGCTTGTCCTGCAAGCCTGGAATGTTCCCGATCTCTCAGCGGGAATCAATTGTTCCTTTGAAGACTTTACAGAGTCAGAGAGCCGCATCGAGGATGGGAAAATCTACTGCCGCTCCCCCTCCTCCAAGGACGTTGTGCCCATCACTCGGGGCCAGGGTGAGTAGGGGGCACTGTGCTGTTTAGGGACTGGAGCTCATCCCTTCAATTCTTGGGTAATGGGATGACTTGATTCTATTTAACAAAATTGTGTAGTTGAAAGAGTACGGTATCTGGGGTGAAAAGTCCTACGTTTGGACTTAGGTGCCATTGTTTTCTTACTCATGTGAGTTTGGGTCTGTTACTGCCTCAGTATCCACATCTACAAAGTGGGACATGGGAATAGAATGGGGCTGGACTGGATTAATCAGTCACCATCATACGTTCATTAAGCACCTACTTTGTGGTTTGTTGGGTTATGTTTATTTGAGACTGGGTCTCTGTCTTGCCCAGACTGTGAAAGTACAGTGGCCATTCATGGACCGTTCCTACTGCTGATTGACCTGAGACTTTTGACCTTCTCCATTTCTCCAATATGAGCCTGTCGTGTCTGTTGATTTGACTTGAATCTGGAGCTAGATGAAGTTTCAGAGATCCTCATCTAACCCAACCCCCTAATTTTACAGAGGAATAAACTGAGTCCCAGAGAGGGAAAGTAATTTGCCCAAGGCCACTTAATAGTGAGAGCTGGACCTTGAACAAAGATCTTTGGAATACAAGTCTGGGGTTCTCCTCCCCACACACCTCAAGTGGTACCTCCCCAGATAGATGAGCAGGCAACCATGGGACTGACCATTTTCAACAAGGAACCAAGCATGAGAAGAGCCCAGAGTGTCCCCCACTCTAATGGGCAGCTCCCTATGGGTCAAGGGGACATTTTCCTCTTTCCCCGAGTCTCTCTCTCTCTCTCTCTGGCAATGGTTTACCTCAGAACCAGAAGGAGAAAATTGGACTTGGTGACCCCAGCAGAACCCCGAGTGATAATATTTGTTTATTTGCTTTGGCTAAATGGTGAGAAGAATGGGGGTGGGAGGCCAGGGCAATTGAGTATTTTTTCAAAGGCTCCAAAAGGCTTATTTCTGAAATCCGAGGTGAGTCTGAGAAAGTTTTGGTCTAAAATTCAGTCTTAGAAATATCCTGAAAACCAGGAAGAGCACCAGGCCACTTGAGCCCTCCCTTCCTTCTAGCCCAAGGTCAAGAGGTCAGTTGAGCACTGGTCATGCTGGTGTCTGACCAGCTTTCCTCCCTCTTGTTATCTTGGCTCTCTTTTCACAGGGCACATCTGCATGAAATCAAGATTGTGGTTTTGCAAGGAACCTCCTTCCCCCTGACCCCCTCCAGCATCTCTCTTCTTCCCCCAACCCTTAGGCTTGTTCTTTCATTCTGTCCCACATCCCGTGCCTGTGACATCACCAGTGCTGATGCCTGGGCCCCTGACCTCAGCTGGGAGAATGGCCTGGGGGCCCAAACACAAGACTCCAGTTCCCCCCCATCTGGCCCTGGAAACACAGGCTGAGGGGCTGGGGGTGGGCGGTAGCAAGGGAGATATTCAGCATCTGATTAATATCGGAGCAGAAGCTCATCGTGAATGGCCAGTGTGTTCTGGTGGTGTTGAGCTGGCTTGAAGGCATGATGGCACATGTCCTGTATGGCATGAGTCACTCCAGGGCAGGCTGCCCCCCCCAGTCTCCCTGACTGCTTCTCCTGCTGTCAGCCCAGGGCTTTCCTGGTGCTGGATAAAGTGTTTATTTTCATTTCAAATCCTGACTCCCATGGGGAGCATTTGAAGTCATGTTTACCAAGTTCCTTCGAAGACCCTGGGTCAGAGGATGCTCAGTGGGAGTGTCAGGGCTTGGGAGATTGAGCTGGCGGGGGAACAGACCGGAACACAGGCTGGAGTCCAGGCAGATGCTGGGCTCTTCGACTCTGCTATGTCCCAGCCTCTGCAGGGGAAACCAGATAGGCATAAGCCTGTCTCCGGGTCCTTGAAGAACTGGCTGACTAGTTATGAGGACCAGACTTACCCCCAAGAAAATCCTGGAGAATGGTTCACAAGAGGATATAATAAAATGCTAGGCTTGTGATTTCAGACTGTGAGTCCAACAGGCTGTTTAGAGAAAGGGGAAATCACTATGGGCTAGAGGAATAATAATTAAAAAAAAATAGCTACCATTTGGCTGAGTCAGTGTAGCAGAGTGGACAGAGGAGAGTATCCTCAGAGGTAGGAGAACCTGCATTCTCAGTGTCCCTGGGAGCTGTCTAAGACGATGCCCATGAGCAGGGGGAGAGAAGGTCTTTCTACTCCATAGTTCCCCTTGGGCAGCATGGTGAGGCCCATGAGTTCATTCTCAGAAGAATGCTTTGAAATGCATAAGATAAAATTTACAGGATTATAAAGAAAGCCAATTATGCTGAATCACAGTTATTAAAATAATTTTAAAAAACCGTCCTTCCCTACCCTGATGAAAATTTCAAAAATCTATATAGCGCTTTAAAGTTTAGCAAAATGCTTTACCATGTATTAACTCATTGGAGTCTCAGGATGGCCTTGCGATCGAGAAGGTAGGAGGACATTATTCTCCCAATGGTATAGATGAGGAAATGTAGTGAAATCCTGCCTAAGGTGACAAAGCTGCTAGGCAGAGATGCTGTGCTGTGATTCCAGATCCGGCATTGATTCTGAGCAGTCAGAGAAGTTGGGTTTGCTAACAAAAGGAGCTGGGGAGGCTGTTCAGTCATTGGAAAGAAAAACGACTTCATGATCATATTTTTTCCTTCCTGTGACCCCTTCTCTCTTGTAATGAAGAAAAGTCAGGGGGTAGGGTGAACTGCAGCTCTCTGTCTGCAGGTTATCTTTTCTCTGCTGTTGTTAAAAGCCTCCATTCTCTGGAGTCCCCAGAGTTGGGTCTTCCAGTACCTAGGCTGGGAATTCTAGGCAGGGCACAGAGCTGACATTCAGCCACTATTTATGGCATTGGGCCAGAGACCTGGCCTTAACACTAAACTCCCTGTGTGATCTGAGACAAGTCACTCGACCGCTCTGGGCTTCAGTTGTCCATCTGTAAATTGAGAGATTTGATCTAGACGATCCCAGAGGTGCTGGTGCTGAGCGTCCTGACTCTGGGGCTCAGGCTGGGCTAGCGTTCTGGACTTCTGGGGGATGAAGGGGCCCAGAGGGTCTTCCAACTGCTCTGGACCCCAAGCCCTGCCTTTTTCCTCTTCTGTACACTCACACATGTCCTCCTTGTTTCTCTTGAAGGAGACAAGAGGGTTGTGAAACTTTACCTGAAGTCCAAGGAGACGGGAAAGAAGTTTGCATCCGTGGATTTTGTCTTTTACAACTGCAGCGTTCACCAGTCGTAAGTACCCAGTGCCTGGAGGTCCAAGGGAGCGAGTTCTGTAGTGCCCTTCACTGGGGAGGCCCTGAGCTGGATCAGCATGGTGTCCCCAGTGGGGTGTCAGGTCTAGGAGCGGCCATCTACACACGTGTGAGAAGCTGTCCAGGGTTGGGGTTAGGGGCTGGTCTGTGGCCAGTGTGAGGGGCCGGTCTGGGGCCGGTGTTAGAGGCCGGGCTGGTGAAGTTAGCAGCTGTTCTGAATCCAGTGTTAGGAGTCAGGTTGTGACAGAGGTTAGGGTGTCAGCTGTGGCCGAGGAACGAGGCACAACAACCTGATTTCCGTAGGGAGGAAGCCTGCCAACCTCACTCCCCTGGCCCTGAGTTCTGATCACTGAGCTTCAGCAGCCAGAGATGGGACTGGAACATGGAGGTTGAGCCCCAATTCCCTGAGGCCCTGCTTTCTGACCGAGTGAAATCTTTGGCCTAACCAAGCACTTTGGGACCTCCTTTTCCTTATCTATAAAATGAGAACACTAGGATTTGCTCTGTCTATCCTCAAGGGCTGTGATGAATTAAATGCTTTACAATCCTTTAAAAGAAAACTCCCCAAAGAAACGCCCTCGGTCTAGTTCAAGAGAACTAGACCCCTCTCCATCCTCTCAGTTCCTTGCTTCCTGACCCTAGGCAATCTGGTAATATTGTGAATCATTCCCAGTGATTCAAGGACCCTTCTCCAGAGCCTTCGTCTTGTTGTGTGGTCGTGTCCTACCCCTCATGACCCCATTTGGGGTTTTCTTGGCAAAGATACTGGAGTGGTTTGTCATTTCCTTCTCCAGCTCATTTTACAGATGAGAAAACTGAGGCAAACAGGGGTAAGTGACTCATCCAGGGTCACACAGCTAGTAGGTGTCTGAGGCTGATTGAACTCAGGAAGAGGAGTCTTCCTGACTCTAGGCTGGACATTCCATCCACTGTACCACCAGCTGCCTGAGCCTTCCTGTCACTTGCTAATAATCTTCCCGGCTGAGCAGAGGCCTGATGATGGAAGCTAGGATGGGGGCTGCCTTGGTGCCAGGGGCCTTGTGTTATGGCTGGGGGTGGGCAGGATGGGGAGCTCCAGCTTTCTCCTGTTTCTCTTGTGGGAGAAGGGGCTGGTCTGAGGAATTTAAGGTTGCTTATTTCAGTTGCTTATTTCCTCAGGTTAAACAGAAGCCTGGGCCCTGGAGTTCTTGTGCTTGTTTTGCTAATTCTAATTCTAAGGGATTAAGGAGTTATGGGATTAGAAGGTCATGACATCATAGGACTGAGAGGCCCCTTGAGATCATCTAAGTCTTCATTTATATGGAGGAGGAAGTTGAAGGTTAGAGAGGTGAAGTGACTTAATAACCATAATAAATATGTAGTGTTCTAGGATTTGCAAAGTGCTTTGCAAATATTATAGGTATGTGCTGTTGTTATCCCCATTTTAACAGATGAGGAAACTGAGGCAAATAGGTTAAGTGACTTGCCCAGGGTCACAGCTAGTAAGTGTCTGAGGCCAGATTTGAATTCAACTTTTCCTGACTCCAGGCCCAGCTCTCTTTGTTGTTTCATCTGCTTTCCTTAAAGTCCTGTATATAACAAGAGGTGCAGCCTAGGGTTTGAAGTCAAGACTTGCTGGTTTTTCTTAGCCCACTTAGCCGGTTGCCTCAGGGCTTGGCTATAGATGCTTGCCAGCATTTGAGGTCACCTAAGCCCGGTGTGACCAATGATGAGGGCAGGGAGGGGACCTGGGACTTGAGTGTGGGAGAAATGAAGAAACTCTCAACTTAGGGATGGAAGGTCCAGTGGTCAAAGTTAGTGGCTGGTTCCTTTGAACAGTGTGGAGGTGAGAGTCCCGTTTGTGACTTTGTGGCCCAGAGTTCTGCTTCCTTCCCAGCACCCTGCCCCTACCACACCAAAGCCGGATCATTCCCTGTCTTCTCTCCCAGACTTGGCAATCCCCACCCTCTTTGACGTATTTCCCCAAAGCCCAATTCTCCCTGCTTGGCATCCCCTTTAAGGTCTGAGGCTGGCCTCACTTCCTCTGTCTGACGTTGTATGAGACCTGTTGGGCCTCACCTCTCCAAGGAAAGGCTCAAGGTCCATTGTTTCTCTAGGGGGCCACGATTGATCCTTATAATTAATTACAAGGCATTCATCCGAACCTTAGCATATTTTTGTTGGTGTTAGAGTAGTCATCACGTATACTGTTTCCTGGCCTGGCATACTTGACTCTGTATCAGTTCTCACAAATCATTCTGTGTTTCTCACACAGCATTTTGTGCTAATCTTTCAACAAATTGAGCTCATCTAAACAGGTTATAAAATTGGCTATTGGTAGGCAGTAACAGCCTGAGGCCCTGGCATTCCGTGCCTGACTCCAGACCAGTGTGGCTGCTGATCCTGACATCACCCACCAATAACCCTGTCCTGCCTCCAAGGAAAATGACCTGACGCTCCCTTGGCCAACTGTATCCAAGAGCCATCATTGACTTCTGTGATCTGGCCTTTCCCATCCTAGCAAAGACAAGCAGATACCCCCAAATAGCATTCACTGACTACTAGAATGTGTGGTTCAGACTAAATGTTGGGTTTTAAGGGAAGGAGAAGTCAGTATTGTCAGGCTTGGTCCAGGATGGATTTTGTGGAGGAGGTAGGCCAGGGACTATGGTTTCAGGGATGCGTAGGACTTGAGAAAACAGAGGATGTGGGCAGAGAGAAGGACCCATGGTGGCCCTGCGTGGTGGAGTCATGGGCTCTGAGGATGGATGCTAGTTTTGCCTCTTACTACTTCAGCAAGTCATCCTCTCTGAGCCTCAGTTTCCTCACCTGTAAAAGAAAGGGTGTGGACTAGCTGACCTCTGGGTTCCTCCAAGCTCTTTGTCTATGATGCAATGTCCCATTCAGGGAACAAGGACTGAACCGATGGGGATGGAATGAAGTTTTGGCATAGGCAAAAAGGGAGGCAAGAAGGCAGTGTCAGCTCAGAGACGGCTTTGAAGGCCCAGCCAAGAAGTCTGAGAGGGAGAGCCAGTTTGGGGAAGACATGATGAATTCCTCCAAGCCTTTCTCTGCCTTTCCCATGTCTTGCCTGTACATGAGGAAGAGAATTGTCGAAAGGCAGGTGGTTTTCAACTTGACTTGTCCTTTTAACCTGTTCTTTTCTGCCTGTGGTCTCTGCATGCTTTGTCAAAAGCGTACTTTGTCTCTTGTTTTATTTGTGATTTGTGTTTATTTGTGATTCAAAAAGCAAAAGGGAGCATTGGGCTTGAGATCTCTCTTATAGAAGAACTCTGAAATTCAGTGATTCTTCGGTCCCCTGTGAGGCCTCAGAAGGGAGAGAGGTTCTTTGGGTCAGATCGGTAATGATTGGGTGGTTCCCCAGACTTGGCTTGAGGGTCCAGGGGAGTGCCTGGTATCAGCTTGGGTTTCCTGGTTAGGGTGTTCCCCCAAGGGATGCTGGCTCGCTTCATCTGCCTGGCCTCCTACAACAGGAAGCTGCTTCTGGTTTCTGAAACATCTTGCCCCCCCTCTGCTTTCCTACAAGGTGTGGGTGTCAGCTGGGTTTGGCTCATAGTCGGTGGAAGGAGGAGGAGGTGGTGAAGTTCCCTCCAGGTGTCTTCCCAGAGATCCCCAGAAGCAGCTTCAGAATAGCTTTGGGTCTCCTGAGAGCGCCCCACTCTCCTGCCTCTCCTGGTTTTTCAGATGGCCGGAAGGGACCAGGCCTGGTCTTCCTCGTCTGTGGTCTCTGTCAGTGATCCGTCTTCTCTCCATCTCTGACTACCGCCCATCGTTCCAGGCTAATCCTAATTGCCGCCATCTTTGTGAAACCTTTCCTTCCTCCCCCAGCTGACAGAAACTCCCACTCTGAACTTCGTGACCCTTCTCTCCCATCTGTATTTCCATTCTTTTGCCATTTACGACATCGCTGATGTTCTTGTGAACTTTGCACGAATGGGTGTCTTGGTAGCCTGGCCCTAGCGTTGGGGGCCTTTGGTCGTGGAGTCAGGAAATCATGGTTTAGGACCTGGCCTTGGCACTTCCTGGCTGTGTGACTCTTGGAAGAATAACTTAGCTCTCCTGAGCCTTTGTTTCTTCTTCTGTTAGATGGGGTTAAGGATGACTACCTTGTTGTGAAGAAAGAACTTAGTCAAACAGGACCTTGGGGTGGGAGGGAGCTCATAGGCCCCCTGGTCCAACCTGTTCTTGGACAGGGAACTCCTCTTACAACATATCTGACCGCCAGGCATTCAATGTGGAGAGCGTGGCAAAGGGGGACCCACTGTCTGGAGGTAGCCCATCTTCAAGGGCTGGAGAAGTGTCAACTCTTCCTCCTCTTCCTCCTCTTTCTTTTTCTTCTTGTCCTTGCCCTCATCTTCCCCCCTCCCTCTCTTCCTTCCTTCTCTCCCTTCCTTCCCCTCCCTCTTCCTTTCTTCCCTTCTCCCCCTCCCCGTTTCCCTTTCCTGCCCTTCTCTTTCTTCATCCTGCTCCTCTTCCTTCTTTCTCTTTCCTTTAACCTCTTCTTTTCTTCCCTTCCTCTCCACCATGATCACATTGTTATCTTTGTCCTCTCCCAGGCTAAATCATACCCTCCACAGGTATCTTTTTTGTCCTTACTAGCATCTAGCAAACAGCTGGCCACTAGCTGAATGACTTGGGACGAGGTGCGTCACTTCTCTGGGACTCAGTTACCACATCTGTGAAATGAAAGGGTTACTCCAGGCAATCTCGAAGGTCTCTCCGAGGTCCCCTTTCTACTCCTCTCAGGCAGTCGGAGCTAAGCCCCTGGGGATGTAGATAATGGATCCTGGAGGAGGCTGGGTGAGGGAGGGATCTTGGTGGGATGGGCCGGGCTGGAAGCGGGCCCACACAGGGATGCCTCCTAACTGCTCCCTCCAGCCCAGTGGGCTGCCCACATACCAAAATGGGTTTTCTTCCCCCTGTTGTCTTTTCAATAAACTTGCTATTGGTATAGTTTTTTTCAGTTTGAAATGAAGCATC